CCCCTGACCTAAACTCCCATTTCGCGTCCTAGAAATCTTTCATTCTTCTCCCTTGGTTATCAAAATAAAAATAGAACGAACTACATGTGCGTGAGTACGGTTCAGTTCTGCAAATCACGAGGATGACGAGAAGAAATGGTGGCGAACCCGCAAGTCTGCCATAATGAAAAACGGATTCCGTCGAAAATCTGACAAAATTGATCGTTTCGGGAGCGTTGGTATACATTATGTGGACATTACCGGTCTGATTGGGGCCAGTTCCCAAGCTGACGGAAACACAAAGCTAGAAACACTACAAAAGTAAATAGCCGTTCGTCCAGAGATTCATGATATCAAAATCCCAAACATAAAAGTTGATGAGATTCTCGGCACAAAGCGAACGGTACCATCGAATATCCTGCAATATGCGTTGTAGATCATCTAAAAGATATACAGTTTAGAGATTGAATGTATACACAGCTATGTCTAGCACAGGAATGCTTCCGTCAATCTGATCCGAATGACCCAGCTTTCCCTTAATTTCTAGTCTTCAATGCTCACGAATGAATCCATTGCACTAACGAAGTCGAGTCTCGGAAAACGTTCAATGGAGGTATCTACAAAAACTGTAAGCGGAATATTACCGGAAACTAACAGAAATCGTATGCATCAGAGCACAAGTCGACGAAAACAGATCGAGATTAAGTAAGAGGAAGAAGACTAACAAGAAATATTGGACGGCAATGTGCCGCCTGCTGGCCGCCATCATCGGTCTGGATAATTTATGACATGAATATGGTTCCAAATAGCATCTACAACGGGGAGAAGGTCAAAGGTTCACTGTCAGGTCACTGCCAGAAACGCACTGGGGTGTACGCCTGGTCACGCGTCCGCACAAGTTCAGAGTTCGAGCAAATTTTCTCTAGGTGCAAACATTGGTTTCGGTTAGGCGGATTGCGAAGACCTCAGCACTTGATAACAGTCAGGTTCTCACAAATTGCGATAGACTCATAGGCACTTGATAGATGAAGTGAAAAACTTTATCAATACATAATAATCGAACGGATTCGGCTAGTCGCATAGTGATTGTGCTTGAAGAAGAAACGTGCACTCTGTTAGACAAAAGCCTCATTGTACGGTCAACATACGATGCTCGATGTGAGCATGCGAACGAGTATACACAGAAGCTGGTCGCAGTGGCTGAACTTGGACGTCAAATGAAGTCTATGGTTAATATTATAATTATCTGAAACAAACTTGCTTCATATGCCATGCACAATGACTTTATGCTCAGCGACTGCATTTCAGTTACATCAGAGATTGGTACAGATCGGCCTCTTGCATGTGCAGTGATTGGTTCATCTTTCTTTCCCAGATTCCAATGTTTTCAGGATGAAATGAGTTGGATGGACAGTTTGCAGTTATTGTTTTAAGTATTGACTAGAAAAGACTGTCGCTATCCTTTCAGTGATGAGATCTCGTTTCAGTTTTAAGGAGCAACTCCTAGAGATAAATACACTGACTAGCCTAATTATGTTTACGTCACACACTGATCGTACCGTTTTACTGCCAAAACATCCGTCAATTTCCTTCTCCATAAAGAAGTTGATATTTGGGTGAGTTGAAATGTAAATGCTCAGTAGATCAATTCAGTCGTAATGCCGTCAAACCGTTTGACAGTAGACAGCTTTCTTCCTTGTTTAGGTGAGTACCACACCTATAGGAGGCAACTGTTGTTCTCCGCCGAACCTGCATTTTTGCTCGTTACCACATTGACCTTCGTTTTGCATGCATCATGTCAGATTGTGCTGTTCGCGAAAAACCGTTATTTACTGGTTTTACTGTCATATGTATATTATGTGCATACGGCCCAAGTCAACAGGAGCCTCATTTTGTTTACCGCTGCTAGTCCTGATTCGGACTGAGAGCTTATCGCTCCAGTTTCTCTTTTTATATGTTACCTCAGCTAGTTATCCATATCAGGCATCCTGTTTCACATGACGGACTATGTGGACTAACTGAATCTTGTCCATGCATGAAACGTGCATCTTCGTCGGTCATTGGACCTCCGGAAAGAACCAGGACACCGGTGAGGCACGTAAGCGTACACTCGTCCTACGTAGATTTGGTCACCCAGTCACCACCTAGCTATTTCAGCTAGGCTACTGATATGGTCTGTTATGCTCCTCATGAGAATAGGACATGCTGTCCCAAAACACTAACTTATGTGTACCGCATGTAGAACACAGCATGGTGAGAACAGTTACTGAAAAACACGACAGACATTTGGTAGGGCAGTGAACCGGGAGTAGAGCCAATCATCGCTTTGGATCAGTCTGTGACCACAACCGTCTGGGCACACTGGGTAAAAGCGACGCGTTTGGGACGAGACGTGCATACAAGGATAAAGATGAATTAATCAAAATAGAGTCCTCTGTCACTATCCAACTGTCACAATCCTGGCCTGTCTGCTGAATGGGCTGCCGCGTGCAGTGGGTTGTTTGAATAAATGCTGAGACGATGGTCCTTTTTGTGGCATATAAGGATGAACAGCAGTTCAAGCATGACCCTTAGTTGAAACAGCCATGCCTATTATTTGCTAACAGGCACGCTACTACTGCTACTAACCATTCAACCCTATACCCAAAAGACGACCACAAAGAAATCTACACAAAAGTCGACATCCTACATCGATTTATTCCTCTGTAAAACACCTCAATGGACGCGTCTGTAGAGGTAGCTCATTGTGGCCAGGCATTCCCGGTCGCCATGGTATCGGTGCGGTAAACTCTAACGGTGACCGATCTCTCAGACTGCAATATCCACGCGCTCATCACTAACACGAGATTTTTCCTGGAACAACACCACCATATGTATACACCCATGCAGCGGCCACTTATCCATTCGATTACACTACCGTTTATCAGTGAGACGCTCGAAAGGTTTTCATCACACATATGACTCGAGGAATGAAAGTGATCACTAGCCTGACCGAACGAGGCGGGAAATGCAGTAATAAACATAACCTCCTCATCACCTATGACATTAAAAGGCGCAGCATATGCTTCAACCTGACCGAACCTAGCCAATTCGCATTTGGCTCCAAGAGCCTACCTGATAAGCGATCCTAAATTGGAAATAATACTCTATGATGGAGCGTGACCAGGGAAGATTCGCGTGTAACAAAGCATTGCGATTCAAAGAAGCAGGAACTGAGATGGGAATGACCTACGGAAATATCTTTTGAGAACGGCAACTGCCTTTGTCAAGTTCCGATGAGACTGACGACCTTACACTGACAATCGTCACGAGTTTAAGCTTATTTCACCAGTCGTTTGACGCATTTTCGAATGAACTGGATGACCATTTTATTTTCGAGTGGGAGGAACATCTTACTTGTTACGGAGTGAGAGTCTAGGTATTTAGAATATTTAGCTGGATTATTGGCCACACGACCACCAAGCTTTCACACAGAGAATGTGTTCATGCTATTGTTAAGCGTTTCCGCTGACTAGAAAGACCACACTAACCAAAGTAAGACACCTTACACAGAATACCTCATAACTTGCCGTATTATACAAACTAGTGGACCAGCCCTCTGGGTGCACGCTTAGGTTGTGGCACTCATTGGGCGGCGTCAGAAATGCGTACCGGAAGTAACCAATGGGGATGAATTTGGCTTTCGAGCATCCCGATCTGCCATGGCTTAACTAAAATCAAACATCATGTCAAAAGGCGCCGTCTTCTCCAATCTAAGAAAAAGGCGGCCAATGTCAAGTACCAGCATAATCGAAAGTTTCCGGCTCCCTTGGGGGATGACAATCTACCTACTAATCTAACTGGACAACCCACGGGAGGCGGACAAAGTGGTCCCTCTAGGAAAAAGTCTCCATTCGGAAGGGAGAATTGTTGAAGTTGTCGCATGTTAGGGAACTGCTGCATGAATCATTTGTATGAGTTTGTACTGACGCCAAGCGAGGTCCCACCACTCACCATATGGAAGTCTCAACTGGGTTTCAGGTCGTTAAACTGATCAAGCGCAAAGTAAAATGAGAACTCCGGACAGTTCTGAGTCGAAATTGTCGTTCAACTTAACCTCACAAGCTCATGCTTAGAGTACCCATTGTCATGTTTGTCAAATCCCTTACTTCCTTAAGCAGACAAAAGAAAAATGAAAAAGGCACCAACTGTACTGAGAATGTATCTAGTTTCACATGGGCACAGGATATCCGACTTCTTGACCTCGCTTCTTGTACACTCACAACCACTCGTGGCACAGAGTTGTGGACGTGACTCTGCATGCCAATATCCAATTTTAATAGCGTGACAACAAAAAGGAATCCTGAGGGTTGTCATAGATAATAACTGCTCTCCAGCACTCGGTCCAACGTGTTACTGTTAGCGATCGGTGTCAAACTGACATCGAATAGAAGTCGTACTCACCGAATTACTATTCGTCTACGATCTCCAAACGCCACAATACGTGACAGGCATTAAAGCAGAAAACTGTATTACCGAAATAAGCAGATTACTATGTCCTTTGTGGTGGAATGGTTGCCCCACAGGTAGACAGAAGAGTTGCTGCAATCGCAGAATCGCGCCTTGTCGTCAGATGACAAGCTGCCGACAAGTGGACCCAGCAGCGATCTCGGTGGGGCACAAAGCGGGCTGGCACCAAACAAGTCTGATGAAAAAATTAACATTATGAACCGATCTCAAAAAAATTTATTCACTGGAAAAATATTGAATAGTTTTAAATGCACTGTACGAAGAAAGTAGATTTTAAACCATTTCTGCACAATTCACAGAGGGCGTAAGACTGGATATTAGTGGACAGGAACACAAGCAAATACATGTTGCATTGTGTGGTATGTGTAGGTGGTTGGGCGAGTTTCATATTCACAATGTGATTGGATCCTTTCCAGCATACCGTAAACAGAGCTATGAAGATAACACCTTGAGCACCTGAGCCTAGAAACCTACTAACACAGGGGAGAGAGAAATGGAAATCACAAGCAAATTTAAAAGTCCTTATCCTCCAAGAAACTGTAATGGAACATGAATTCTTCCTTTTTCCGCTGACTCATCGTTTTGAAATCGTAGTAAATGTACGAACCGGATTCGTACTCGTCTGTGATTTGTTTCGGCTCTTCGTGTCGCTGGAACCACATCATGAATTTTGTGTGGAATCGCCAAGACATGCGTTTGAGCGCCTTAGCAGCGAAATATTGCGCTTTGGTGCCCTCGAAGTGGTAAAATATGAAGAACAGTGTTTGGGCGTCCAATTTCATGTAGTAGTCTTCAGTGTCGGTGCCAGGAGGGGGTTCACGTGGGTAATAGCTCGGGGTATTACGGCCTTTCTTGCACACAAGCATTCGGGATTTTTCGTGTCACACGCATTCTTGCACACAAGCATCCGTGATTTTTCAGTGTCACACGGATGGGGTAAACGACGGTATCCACTCTCCAAAGCGTGGAGTTGTAGCATTAGCTGAAGCGGACAAGAATGCACCATGAGGCTGGAAAGAGCTACGATGGTCAGCGATGGCGTCACTTTACTTTAGAAATGCTCAGGAATTAAAAAGTCTGCAAAATTGGACAATACGATACGAGAAGGCTAACTTAATAACATCGCATCTTGCTGAAAAAATTGACGTGGCTGTTGAAAAAGGTGAAACCAGCCTGAGTTGAACTCATTTTTTTACGCTGATTATTCAGTAATGAAGTTGGTTCTCTCTGAAGACGGTCACTACCACAAATATCGGTTCCTATATATCTAGCGCCATGTTAGTCTATAAAAAACAAGAACTGTTCAGAACATGTGCCAAAGACTATGAAAAACAAATACAGTACATGGTACTCAACCGGCTGGTTGAGTTATGCAGGGCTTGGTTGTACATATCTATGCATTTGGCTCAAAACAACAGCACCATAAACCAGCGAGTGCATGCTAAGAAGGGAGATCAAGAGACTACGTTCGTCGAACATCTATCCACTGACTACCTCGGTGTGAGAGACTTATCGCATGTCACAACAGAATTGTGTGGTAAACGACTTAGGCTGTCAGCCGAGAAGGCGCCGCTTATATTTACCTTAAAAGGACTGAAACTCTAAGTCATTGGGTTGGACTACCAGTCGTTCAACAAAGCAACTACGAGAGAACGATACGAAATGAACTGTAAGTTGACGGGGAAAACCGGGGCATAGCAGCAGAGTTCACCCTTCCCCGTAATTTTACACTAGTGTAAGAGAAGGTTCCAGAATATCTCACAAAATCCGTCAAACCACGATAGGCTCTGATGTTTTCGTGAACGAAAGTGGCAAATAAGACGTCTTTTATTCAATATAACTGATACTGGGTCAAAATCAAAACAATACTTGAAGTTGACATTTCCATGAGACCCGATCAAGGAGCCTTTGAAGTTGCGCTACCGCCGAAGCACAAACTGCAGGCCTTAGATCGGGGTTCATAATGTTTGGAGTCAGACATCCTCAAATCAGCGCAAATACCATTAAACTTACCTTGAACTGGTCTCCAATATAGAAAATAAGGTTTTCAAAAGGTGGTAACATACAGGGTTAAGACCCCTAAGTAAGGTGTAAATGGACGTAGTCTACGGTAAACCAAATGAGCTGGTGTCTAATTCCAATCAAGAATTGAGGAATGTGTTCTGTTGACTGACGGCACGTACGTTCCGGAGACGAATCCAAATGACACCATGTCACACGTAAACCATACCGACTTTGGATAAGTCAACTTCACGGGGGAACTAAGCACGCCCATAACTGAATTTGTTGACGACATTCGCAGAGATAAAGAAAACTCACATTAGTAAAAAAAAATGAGGTACAACACAAAGGATAACAGAAACGGTGAACACCCCACTGACCTCTGGTGGCGGGGGACCTTTGGACTTGTCCAAGTTACGATTGCGAAAGGGTGCTGCCGCATCACGTGGATGCATTTGCACGCAAGGAGGTACTCGCTGGGGTTGTGTGTGCAAGGACGTCTGCAGTCCGGATAACTGTTTGTCCAAAGGTACATGAGGATGCTGTCCTTGCGAGGAACCCGGGGAAATGACACCGGTAAGCGATAAGACCTGACCAGTAGCTGCTGCCACAGAGTGAAGCTTATTACTAAGGGATGATGCCAACGCTCCATCCAAAGTGAGGCAGGGAGTTATCCGTCCGTCCGGAAGTCCATTTGCCGAGCTCTGCTGACCTGTCAATAGCCCTGCTAATTGCCTATCTTGTGACACTCCCATACCAAGACCTGATGGCATGGTGACTGCCAACTGAGAGGCAGGGAAGTTTGACGTCATTGAGGCACTGTAAGGATCCAAAGTAGAAGTAGCAGGTAGGGAAGAGGATTGTGAAACCGCCGAAATCCCACCACTAGATGGAGAGGATGTGCAGGTAACGGGTAGAGTTGTCAAACCCGAGCCAGCAACAGCAGCTGCAAACCCGATTTTGCCTCCTATACTTGCAGATGTGGAGGTGGTGGGAGCCGAAAAGGAGGAATTGGCTGGACCTTGTGGTAAAGAGGATAGCCCAGAATCAGAAGGCTCGGAAATACAGGACGTTTTCAGTTGTGGGTACTGAGTCTCACCGTAGCTAGCTGAGGATGCGAGCATCCCCTGTTTGTCCGTCTGTTTTAGGCTGCCATCGCCTTTTGGAGTTCGGTTTGAGGAGTCAGGCTGAGAATCCGCTGTGATTGTTCGAGACTTTGGAGTCAAACTTTCAGCACCTGATGATGAATTATGTGAGACGCCATTTGAGGTATGACCAGTAAAAGATCGATTAGCTTTGTTGGGGGTACCCGCAACTACTTGCGATAGCAAGGCGGGCGGGGCCGTTTGATTGGCTAAATGGGATAACTTCTGTTTTGAGGACCCACCACCAGGAGTGGTGCTAGACGCTGGCGCGGGCTTTAGTGGAGTGCTCGTTGAGGAAACGGAAACGTGGTTTAATGGAGTGACTTTCTCATCGCTTCTGGTTCGCTCTCGGGACGAGGATGCGTTAGAGGAAGTTGAAGAGCTAGGATGAGTAACAGAAGAATCTGTGTGATTGGAACTACTCGTATGTGTTGAAGCAGAGGAGCCGGCATCATCGTTTCCTGAACGGTGGGTACAGCCTCCAGCAGTTGAGCCAGGGACACCATTAATATCATGTTCCGTTGTACCGGGAACGTTACCCGGGCCAGCCGTAAGCCCAGAAGAGTCTCCAATCTCATCCAATTTCAGATCATCATACATATTTCGATAGTCTAGCGCAGATGCTTCATCACAACACTGAATAACATATTCAATTGGATCCTTGATTGATCGCAGCAAGGCACAATCTAATCTTTCATTGTCTAGAAGTCGCATTATTGTTTCCAGTTTCTCGACATGAAAACAACAGTTGTCCAACCTCTGTCTTTTCTCTTCAATCGCTACAGCTGTATCTTTATCAATTCTCTTCTTTTTGTTGCTATTGGTGAGGCTCTCTATTTCAAACTCATACTTTTCGGTCTGTGTGTTTAATGAGGATATACATTGCTTCAGCCAATCATCTAGTTCCTCCTTTTCCTTCTGTAAGGGATCTTTTTTTGCATCCGTAGACAACAGACCTTCCTTGGAGTAGGCTTTTGTCTTTGTTTCCTTTTCTATCACTTTGAACCTCTCCATATCTTGCTCTATCTCTTTCCGGGCATCCTGTAGGGGCCGCTTGTCCTTGACCTCGTTGGCTGTAAGCCATGTTTTTATCTGATCACGTAACCGCTGAAGTTTCTTGATTTCCTTTTTTAGATCGCCTTCAAACTTTTCTTTTTGCGTCTGATTCACAGATCCTTCAAACTTGTCTAGAATTTCCTGTGAAAACAAATAATAACCAGAAATCAACCATAACCAAAAGTCGACGAACCTAAGAAAACTAATAAACCTTCCAAACTCTGAAACGCTCCTAGGAATGCTAAGAAAACTTACACGTACCGAACTGCAATTTCCTTAAGGAATATAAGAAATTATCCTAATACTAAACACGTAGTCTTCTAGGAATATGATCAACGTACAGCTCGAAGAGACTGAGTGAATATGGGGGGAAATCCTGTTTTTATCTGTTTTGCAGACATACATGGTGCTCGATATAAAGAAGGACGCAATGTCACACACGGGCTTAGAGCCCAACAGGAAGAAATGAACACTAATATTTATCCGAAGCGTGAAGTGAACGAAAGGAAGCAGCAATTCTAACAAGAAGCATACAAAGCATTCCTTTTCAGTCAGTTTCAAAATGAAAATGATGATTCCGGAGTGACCGGGAGAAAATGGGGAGAGTGTATCAGCTGTAAGACCGGCACTGTACCGAGACGACAATTTAACCAGCAATAAACGCAGATTCCACATAGTCCTCATCGCAGCTCGATTGTGAAAACTCAGTAGGTAACTGTCATGAATATTCTTTGTGCTCATATTATCGTTTTGTATTAACCATGCTTTCGCCTTCATTTTCAGCTTATGTACGTATATTCTTAGACAAGTAAAGCGCTATTCATTCTTGTTCTCGCGCTCAATCAGAATCGATATCCTATTCGTAACAATTTACTTGTCTAAGAATAAAATGGAACCGTTGCTGCGACCCAAGTGTTTCGACGCAGATCCTAATTCTCCAGACGCAACAACGCGTTGGAATCAGGGGTTCCGAACCTTCCAAACGTTTCTGGGCACTGTCGAATCGCCCAATCTAAATAAACTCGAAACTCTGATCCATTTTGTGAATGCACCTGTATACGTTTATATCGCTGACTGTCCAGATTACGAATCAGCTACCAGTACACTTGAAAAGTTGTACGTTCGTCCTGAGAATATAATTTATGCTCGTCATCTTCTACAAACTTGTAAACAAGACACCAGTCAAGATGTTGATCAGTTTGCTCAGAGGCTTAAATCCTTGGCCAAAAATTGTGATTTCAAGGCGGTGTCCGCCATTGACCATCAAAACGAAAGTGTACGCCATGTTTTAATCAACGGACTTCAGTTTACTACCATCAGAGAAAGACTTCTGGCTCAAAACGAACTCACTCTCGATGAAGCACATGAATTGGCTAGGTTATTAGAATTGGCCCACAAACAAGCTCAATCATACTCACATAACCAGGCGATATCATTTTCTGCGGCTGCAGCACCTTTACAGACATCTACAGTTATCCCTTCACACTCAACCTCCCCTGATTCTACACCCTATCTCTCGTCAATCAGTTCTCAGATATGTTACTTTTGTGGTCGTTCCAGACATCCACGGTCAAAGTGCCCCGCAAGAGAAGCAGTTTGTAAATCATGTGGCAAAACAGGCCATTTTCAGCGTGTTTGTCGATCCAAATCTGTAAAGTGTCACTCAAATTGCACAACGGATTCGGCCTTATCTTCCCTGTTGACTGCTGCGGCCCCGAACTGCTTGTCTCGCACGGTGACCAGCATAAAGGTGAACGGGATATCGCTTCAGGCCCTCATAGACACAGGAAGTTCGAGCAGTTACATATCTCCTTTGGTGGTTGGTAAACATGGCTGGAAGGTATATGCTAACAATTCTGTGATTACCATGGCATCTACCTCTCTGACGTGTTCAACTAGAGGCTACTGCTACGCAACCATCGATTACAGGGGTACCGTTTACAAAAAATCAAACTATTGGTATTACCCAATCTATGTGCTGACCTGCTGCTAGGCCATGACTTCCTTGGTCTACATAACAAAGTTGAAATCACATTCGGTGGGGACCGAGGTCCATTCACCCTCTGCGGTCTACCTGCTGCTGCGGTCGAGTCACCTCCTCTTTTTGCTAACCTCTCACCCGACTGCAAGCCTGTTGCTACAAAATCGCGACGTTATAATCCGGACGATGAACAATTTATCCGCTGTGAAGTTAATCGACTATTGGATGAAGGTATAATCGAACCTTCGAGTTCTCCATGGAGGGCTCAAGTACTGGTCACGAAAAATTCAAACCACAAAAGACGCATGGTAGTGGACTACAGTCAAACCATTAATCGGTTCACATAGCTAGACGCGTATCCGTTACCGCGACTGGATAAAATGACCGAAGAAATTTCCCGTCATACTGTCTTTAGCACCTTAGACCTATTGAGTGCTTGCCATCAAGTTCCAATCAGTGAGCAAGACAAACCGTATACGACTTTTGAAGCATGCGGAGAGCTGTCTCAGTTCCGTCGTATTCCTTTCGGTGTAACCAACGGAGTAGCACGCTTTCAACGTACGATTGACCATATAATCAAGTCTGACAACCTAAGTGGCACCTACGCTTACATCGACAACGTCACTATTTGTGGGACTACCCAAAGTGAGCATCATCGGAACCTCAAATCTTTCTTTGAAGTAATAA